CGTTTGGTTTTTTTGCGCTCCTTGTTTCATGTATTAATATTCCGTGTTATTATTGCTATGGTTTAATTAGCCAAGTTTGAGTGGGTTTCACTCGCAATAAAGTACAATTCAACGCGTGTCTTCACATCGTTCTGCTACAAATAACCATATTGGAATAGGATTCAACTCTTATTTCATAATCAAAGGACCAACATTTCAACAAAGACTTGCAATCCGTTACTGAATATCTCATAAGAATCTATTAGAATAAAGCTAATAAAAAACTTTCACGACACTTGCCTCAACTGCTTCAAAGCCGGACATACGGCAGCCAAATGCAAAAACAAGAAACGGAACTGCTTCCACTGCAAGGGTCAACACAATTCTGCCCTCTGCCCTAGCAAGTTCAAGGAAGTAGCCGATAAACCAGAGGATCCACAATAAATACAATAGTCGAAAAGGAAAGGCAACGTGACAAGCGGATCCTACTCTTATACAAAGGAGTAAATGTGTTCAACCCAACCAATCCAAACGCTCAACAGAAAACCTTAGCATTATTTGACGTAGGGTCACAATAATCCTTTATTTCGAAGAACTTAGCGAAACGGCTAATGCTTAATGAAATAGATGAAAAGGAATTAAACATCGCTCCATTCGGCAATAAGAATCCGAACACATGCCTTACAACCAGAACTGAAGTAGCAGTAAAAATTGAAAAGAAGCGCACAATATTGCTCGAAGTAAACACCATGGACTAACAAAAAAAAGGTTGACAAAGATAATTTAATACACTATCAATTCAAAAGGGTTCCTTTTGGAGCGATATAGTCACCCTTTTTATTATCAGCAACTCTCAATTATCATTTGGAACATTATGAGACTGAAACTGCACGTGAAATCAAGAATCCCTATGTCGACAACATCATTTTATCGACGAGTCAAAAAAAAGAAGCCTTGAATAAATACCAAGAAATAAAATCAATTTTCAAGGATGCTTCAATGAACGTGCGAGAATTCTTCTCAAATGACCAGATTTTCAACTCGCAACTACCGAAGTCGGATCTAGCACAAGTAAGCCAAACAAAAAAATAGATCAAGTGGAACTCATACAAGGATCATATCGAAATAACGTTCAATCCATTATCTTGCGACTAATAGATTTTCCTTGCCTATACCAAATAGCAATGATGACAAAGAAGACGAATTCACACCTCATAAACCAACCACACAAGAAAGATTTCAAACACTGATCGAGTACCTTAGAAGTATTGAATGCATTTTGGGAGATATGGAAAGACGAGTACTTAGATAGCTTAAAGGATCGATACCAATTAGCACATAAGTCTCCGAGAAATGTAAAAAGGAGAGAGCCGGTGGAAGTGGTACTGTTAGATGAGCCTCATACACCACGCGGTACCTGGAAACTAGCAAGGATAAAGAAATTAAATGTAGCCAACGATGGGCACGTCAGGAGCGCTCAGATCGAACCACCATTAAGAAAACTTCTAAATCGACCAGTAAACACGTTGTATCCATTTGAAGTTTCTACAGAGGAACAATGAGATTCAGAGAACCTTGCGAACCAATCAGAGAGCGCAGAACCAGCTCCCCAAAACCGGAACACTACAAGTAATACAAAGATTCGACTGAAAGTGGCGACGATCAACCTATTGCTCATCGAACACGGAGCCAGACAAACTTACAGAAAAGGAATAAATCATTCATTTAGAATATTTTCTCTTCTCCCTCGGGAGTGTCGAGAACAAACTCGAAACTTCTCGAAACTAATTTAACTCCAATATTTATGACATAGCCAAACCAAATAATTAAACTAAAGACCCTTTTTAATGATTCATCATTTGTAATATTTCCGTTAATTTTCACGTTCTCATACCCAATTCGCACTGCAATCCTTATCTCAACAGTTATCTTTGTTCCACATAACTAATTTAAACGTTCGCATCATGTTTAGTCGCCTTCAGATTATAAAAAAGTTTCTTATGATTATATTCCTTGTCATATGAATTCCCATTTTTTTTGTAAACCATATCCTTATCCTTACATGGGAATTCCGTTCATCATAAGCTCCTCCTTACAAATATCTAGTCTATAAAAGGACCATCGGAGGTGGTAGAGTCAGTCTAGTTACCAATCAACCAACAAACCAACCTACCGACCAACAAACCAATCAACTCAAACTAAACCAGTCTTTTTTTTCACAACAATATATACGGAACAAAATTTCTGTGCAGGAAATATGAAGAGTAAAAGTAGAATCGTTATTGGACTATCCACAACCAATGTAGAAACAAAATTAAAAAATAATTGAAATTTCCTTCTATTTTAGTCAGACTAATTTGCCTTTAAACGTACCTTGCATCATGACCAACTGAACTTTTTTGAGAGAATGAAAATCGTTTTTTTAATATTCATTTTTTTATAAAGCAAGAATCAGAACACAGGATCTGAAGATAAAAGAAGAAAGCAGGCAAATATGTGGAAGAAAAAGAATTCAAGTTTGAAACTCTCGATAGTTTCAAAATTAATCTATCATTCTATGATTTAAAACTATCAGCAGCAGAACTCAAGAATTCATTTATTTCGAAATTCATAGCAAAGAGATAAGGAAGGCACGTAGAAGTAGCATCTAACAGAAAAGAAAATTTATGAAAGCAATCAACAACCAAAAATAAATTTTTTACATTTCACTAAAATCAAAACTTAAACATGCTTCAAAAACTAGCTGAAACCTCTCTGCACCTTGCATTTCGGCATCCATCTTGCGCAAAGGGCGCTTAGTAATAATCAGTACTAATAGAAGATTCAGTGGCAATTACTAGTCTAGCAAGACAGCTGTAAATACGAAAGAAATTTATTAAAAATAAATCAGGAGAAAATAAGAAGAGCTGAGCATGCAAGATGGTGAAGAAGTGCCTAGCATCTGCGTAATAATATATATACATGCTTTGGTCTAATAGCTTTCGGTCTTCCCGTAACGTTCACATATCAATGGAAAATTGAAGAAGCAGTTCATTCAGGCTGAAGTTCAAAAAAACGACGAACAGAGAATTTGTACATCAAAAATAGAATGAAAATATTGAAATTAATTTTTGGTAAGAAATAACAAATGGTAAATGTACGCAATGAGCTTATTAATCTAAAAGTTATAAAAGCGCAAGTATTTATCGAATCTTACTCCTATGTTGCCTCATCTGTATTAATTCCATCTTTTTGCTGAGAAAAGAGAATAATTAGCAGGAAATTATTTTAACATTTTGTTTGAGCTGAGTCACACTATACTATCCGAAACATTTGCAATTTCCATTTTTTTTCTACACTGGTTAGGACCAATTGCAGTCTTTTTTTAGAAAAAGGAAAAAATTCGTGCTGTTTTATCTCTCCTTTACCGCTATCTTGCTGAGTTTGAAAGATTGGGTTTATAGCGCACGTTCTGAGAGAGCAATTGAATTTAGCTTTCTTCGGAAATAACATTCTGATAGGACCAATCGCTCATTTCATCATATTCCAAAAGCTGAGAACTCCCAGCGGACGATCTCCTGAACATAAAAAGTTTTAACTCTATAAAGAAAATGCAGTAGGAAAGATTATTTAAGAACAGCCTGTGTGAATTAGTGGTGAGAGAAAATTTTAGTATTCAAAAAATGAAAATTGACATTCAGCAAAAACTTATTCCAGGGAATGGGGAAGGCCTGAAAAGTCTTCAAAAAATATGCGGCAAAACACAAAGTAATCAGTTTTCGCTAGAAAATAGGTCAACAACCTCTTTTACAAAGGCGAGTTTATTAAAATGACATTAACCGACGTACTCTCTATCTGTCTCTCTAAGGTTTCGCCCGCTTCAATCCAAAAGAATATAAATATGAGGCAATTAAAAGATCTTAAATCTCAATACCCATTTTTGACCGACCTTATATAATTTCACAATTATTCGATACCTTACCTAAAACGATATCAATCAAGTTTCAGCATGAAAGTACAAAACAAAAACCTTTCATGGAAAACACTATTCATGATGAATTAATTACAAAAAATGTGAAAAGAATATAAGGTATTCAGGTTTAGATTTCTAAATTGGGACTAAAATAGGAAAATTTTAAATCCTTAATCCATGTTTCAGTGCAAACAAAAGAAAGCTGTCCAAATGAACCAAACGGACAAACAAAAGGGAAATGACAGCTTTGAACCTTGAGTTTTGGGTCTGGATTGTTATCTTTGCTACCGTTCAATGGCAATCGATTATCAAACTGAAAATTTAAATCAGCAAAAACGTGGAAAGTTTTAAGATTAAACCCACTTTAAGATTAAAAAACCACCCAACATGTGACAATTATCATAGGTATAACCCCAAAACTATTTTGGTTTTTCTTCTTTACAGTTGGGCTGAAGGCATCGCAAATATCTAAAATCTTCAACAACTTTATGATGTCTTTTACTTAGGATCATCCAAATACCGGATGAAAAAGTCTGAGATGTAATCAAAACATGAAAAGGATGATTGCCTTTGGACTAGCAGAAAAAATTTAGTGAAAGCTATAATTATGTCTACCACAAATACCAGTCTGGTATCCATTTCGTAATCTCAACAGAAAAAAAAGTACTGCAAAAGTTGAAACAATAAAATAGCCTACTGTAAGTGACAAAAAAATCTATTAAATAATTTTTTTGTTACAAAAAGGATAAACAACAGCAGCGTCCAATTATCACGCCTTACAACAAATAGGAAAATTGAGAATTCAGCAAAATAGAAGCAGCAGAAATCATGCAAGGCAATGCACAGGAAGAAATTTGCAGATGTATATAACTGAATAAAAACATATGAAGCTATTGCAAAAGTGCAAGACCCCTGCAGAGATCAATGATTTCAAATTTAAAATAAAAATGAATTAAACAGAGCTCATTACAGCACAATTGGCATAATAGTAAATTGTTTGAAATTCAGATGGGACCTCGTCGCAGTTGATGTGGCTGATTGCTTCCGCATTGGATGTCGGATTGAATCCACCTCGACTAGTTGATTTGATCGACGTTCTCCAACTAATCTCAAAGCTGAATTCTCACTGATGCTGTCACATATTGTTTCGCTTATAGTACCATTAGATTCTGCTCGCTCAGGTTGCTCAGTACGTCGTAAACTACAAAGACTCGACACAAATAAACGACTTTTGAAACAAAATAGTTAAGTTTAAAAATGAACGCAATTACTGTGCACTTCAGCAACTCATTACTTGTTTATCCAGTAATACTTTCTTCCTCACTTCTTGCACAATTCAGAAATAAGAAAAGTGTGATTCTTTCTTAAACAAACCGATCTAGACAGGGAAATAAGCAAAGAAATCATTTTTAACTAAGATGTTAGAAAAATTTAATGAATGGGAGTGCTTACGTAATAACGCCTCACATTTCTAACTGCATATTTTCACAGAATTAAACAGATCCGAAATCTTCCCTGATTTTCCACACTCCACACAAAACTGTGATTCAAAGTACCACACAAAATTTCTTTTTTCCGCATTTTTGATGCCGTAAAATGCCTTTATGATTTATGAAACTAACTTTCCTTGATAAGAAAAATACAATTTTCGCAACCACTATGTATCCATCTTTTAATTATATCTTGTTATTCAATTCGCTCAATGTCATTATGTATAAAACATAGGTATGAATGTGCCATTATTATCGGCTGCAATACGCATCCATCAATAAGAATGTATGAATAAAAATTGTGGAAGGTGAAATTCAAGCTTGAAATTTAACATTCCATATTGGAATTATGCTACAGTAAACAAAATTATTTTATTCAGGAGCTGATTTGCTCAGATACGAGTAATATGACTTTAGCATATAGAATAATCTTAAAATTGAGCAGAATCCCTCAACAGACAACTCGAATTAAGTACTGACAGGGTACCTTACTAAACATCGTAATCAATTAAGATGCTTAAAAAAATGTGATTTTTTAAATATATGATTTGATGGATAGCCTGGAAAACTTGAAAAATTTAGAATCCAATAAACACTACACCACTTCATTTCAGTAAAGGAAATATTGAATTATTGTGAAAACAAAGAGTAAACAAAAAGAAAATATGTTGGTAAGCAAGAATCACAATAAGGAAAGTTATGTGTTTCTATAAATGTAATAATACATTTCAATTAATATAATAGTTTCCTAACCTTTTTACACATTTGGGAAAGAAGCATTGGAAAAAAACAGCGTTGCATACTGACTTAGGCAAAAAAGGTATTAAAATGTCATCGAAAGAAAAAGAATTACCAATGTAATTCGCAATATATGTCACGGCTTTGCATTCTGAAGTGTTCATGGAAGTATACTATTTCTCTAGGAGTCGGTGTAAAAGTCGTACGGATCCTGAAACATTCATTTCTTAGAATTCATTTCTCTAATTCTTTTTTTTATTGTGAAAATGCAAAAAAACACATGCATACCAAAATTTATGATCTAAGTCATCTAATTTTTATAAATAAAACTTATCATCGTGGTATTCCTATTTTATAAACAAACTTATTATCGGTATTATCGTGCACGTATAGTTTTTTTGAGTTACCCGATAAATTTATAGAAGCAAATCAAGATTCAAAAATAAAATCTAGGGGGTTAAAAAATTTAGACTTACGTTTTGATGATAAAATCAGTAAATAAGGTTATTATAGGAATAAAAATCAGTGCCAGCCAGAAAGATGATGAGCTCAACATTACGGATGCCATGCCAGACATATATTCACCGATCGGCAAAATTGGCCAAACCTATAATTTTTTTTTCAAAAAATTTATGCAGTGTAGAAAGATTTGTGATTTTCAAAAATCACAGATTATTTTTTGCTTCCATTCTTCTAAAGAATAAAGCAATAATTAAATTACAATTCAGTAAAAACTATAAAATAATGTAAATTTTCACCAGGGAATAAAGTGGAAGGAAAATAAACCACAATAAAATCGAGCCAAAGCATGAAAATAATATAACGATTGTCCACGAATCACATTCTAACAAAGCTTTGAGACAAACTGTTGTTACCACAAACTGAAAAATAGCGCAAAATGCAAATTTCAATGAATTTCACCAAGATGAGACAGAATATCACGGCAAAAATAAGAACAATTCGCATTATATTTAACCAACTATGGCTATAAAACAAGAGAGCAAAACTAATTGCGTCACATATTTTTTTACTGGTTACAAAATTTTATTACTTATTTAGAATTATTTCTTTTCCTAGCATGACATCACAGCTCGAATAAAAAAATGAACAAAGTTAGACTAACCGTATAGCATGAATTGCCAAGCATCAACCAGCCTCCAACTCTTCCATTATCCCACACAACAGGATCATACAAAAATGCAAAAGATAAAAAGAAAAGAAGTAATGAATGCCAAACTGCCAGACCGATCCATACTGCAAATTGCTAAAATGAACGCAGCAAATTATATAGTTAAATTAAAAGTAAAATCAACAAAAAATAAAAAAGTTACAAATTAACTTCAGCAACGTATTTATCAGCCAAGCATTTTTGCGAATGTGGCAACTAACACCCTAATCACCATATTTTTTCCAATGTGCTCAACACAGTCTAATAAAACAAGCTTTTTTTCAACTACAACTCACACTGATTGTAAATGCTCGTTTATAAAAGGTTTCATACAAGCCAGGATAGGAAAGCATCATTTGGTCGGAAAGAGGTCTGTCAAATAATCCGATCATAACAGGTGGTAGTGCAGTAAATGCCACGTTGAACAGAGCAATGGTCCAACGTTCAAATATTGTTTGACCGGAGAAGGCAGAATAGATCGCAAACCATAATTCGATTAAGTACAGGCATATATTCTTATAGAAGCTATATAAGATCACCTGAAACTATGAAATATTAATTGGGGAGTTTTGGAAAATTTTCTAGAATATGAGATCAGAAAATGAAATAACCTTTACGCCTCGCCCATAGTTCCAAGCACCGTGGATAAGTATAAGTCGGCGTAAAAAGTGAAATTGTGCAATAGAATAATCACTGGCAGATGCTGCTTGAAGGCCTTCTTCACCAGTTATTCCCACACCAACATTAGCAGCCTAAACTTTCCGAAATTACTGAAAAATCTAGAAACTATATTGTTCGGAAAAATCTAGAAACTATATTCTGTTTTTTTGCACTATTTCTAGTATTTTGTTCACTCTATTTTTTCTAAAGTAAATCAATAGTAATCAAGTATAAAAAATACTTGGATCATAGCAACATCATTGGCACCGTCACCAATTGCTAAAATCACATTGTTAGTGGCTTCCCGGACCATCTCGACAACTTCTGCTTTCTGCATTGGGGTCATTCGGCAACAGATCACAGTAGGACAAGTCACGGCTAAGGTTCCAAAGATTTTTCTACATTTCGGTTCAACTATATATCTCAGTGCCTGAAAAACCTATTTTCTGGAATTTTCTCGCACTAGATCTAAGATATTTTTATTTCTTCTCCCCCACCAGCGTTAATGTTGCGAAATATAATGACACAATTTAATTTTTTTTTAGAAAGAATGAAACAAATGCAGGTATTCTCGGCTCCTTATGCTTCTACATTTCCATTTATTTGAAAGTGGCATGAAGCCAAATTAACAAGGTAAAACAAAGATAATTTAGGATTTAATCTTTTCACTTTCCTACGTTGGCTTCATATTCTTTTTAAATAACTCTATGAAACACAAACATAAGCAATAAAAAGAAAATTCGAATGAAGCTAAGAAATCTTCCCAATATTTCTGCCCTACTCATCTCTTTATCATTGCTCTCAAGTTCGATGATCCTTTAACAAAACAAAATTGTCAGTAATGATCATAATTTTTAAATAATTCTGTGATGTGTGAATATGGCTCGCATCAATAGACAAAAATGATTTTGAACATACCGCAAAAATCGAAAAACTGAACTTACAGATCCATCAATAACCAAGGAATACTGCATAGCAGATAGCTGAATGCTACTACTGAAGTCACAGAGTTTTTTAAAAACTTCATCGCATGAATTACCATCAATAAACCAACATTTCATATCCGAGTGAACAATACCCGCTGAACGAGCTATATTGATGGCTGTCTCACGCTTATCACCGGTTAGCATCCAAACGCGTATCTGCGCAGCAAGTAGCGCCGTAATTGTTTCCGGTACATACTAAAAATCATCGACTAGTACACAATATAATTCCGATACTGCACTTACTTAGTACTGCTTAGTATTCTATATTATGTTTGTATTGCTGAGTAAAAAGATTTTTGAAATCTAATTCAATCAAAAAATGAAATTTATTAAATAATGAATCTTATTCAGGTTCAACAAGTCATAAATATCAATTATACATCCTGGCAGTTTATTTAACGCTAGGAGATATTTGCACTTTATTTCAATTATTCTGAAGTGTTGCAAATTCCGCATTTAATAACAATAACGAAATTGGAATATTCCATATAAGATTATTGATAATCTGATGAAGCTGAATATTTAGTAGATTCAAACGAAGTAATGTTATTGACTTCTTAATTTTATTGTAGTAAATTCTGTCATTATTATAAAATAAGAATTTATTCATACTCCGAAACTTCTCTCAAATGCTTTAGCACCACAGCAATTTGCTATTACTATGCAAAAAAGACCTGTTGTAATTTATCTTCAATTGCAGATGCACCCACTAACGTAAGGTTTGTTTCAATCTTCTCAGCACATTCTGCCAATTTTTCTGCTCGTTTATCTATCGAAATCGAAGCTTTTTCAAATTCTTGCACCCATTTATTGTATTCTTCTAATTCCAGTATACGCATTGCAAAACAGAGAGTTCGGTAGCCCTTTAACGTTCTTTTCAGTACTAACAAATGTGATCTATTAATGAAAGTAATATAAAGATGAAAATTAGCATAGAAACAATATTAAGACAAAATAACATGAACGAAGCTTCAAGATAATAAATATGATAAATTCAATAAAATTGATGTTTAAAAATAGTAACAGACCTTTGACGCATAATCCAGAAGATGGAGAGCACAATTATCAACGGGTGGTAAATCCTTCCGCAATCTTTCAAAAATCATAGAATCCTGAAGAGATTTATTTCATGAAATTCATTTGTCAGGATCAGTAGAATTGTACTTCAAACTTGATCAAAAATGTAAGACAAGTGCATAATTACAACAAAAAAATGAAATATGAAGAATTAAAAAACTAAAGATATAAAGCACAATTTTTTTTTTGGTAAACTACTCTTCATAAATTCATAAAAATGAGACTCAAAACTCCCTCCAAATGAAAATAATCAATAAATATTTAGTAAATCTCTCACCGCTCCTTTGACATACAATTTCAAGATACCATCAGGACACTGCACAATAACACCCATTCGCTTTCTATCGCTTGTAAATTCTAATACATTTAAGACGTTATAACTTTTGATTTCCCCTAACTGAAAGTATGTAATATTAAAAATTGAAGAATTAAACGAAGCGTTGAAAATTAACTATATACTCTGTGTTTACAAAACTAGTTTGAGAATTCCGCATAAATTTGCAGCAAAGAAAACAATTATTAATTCACAAAAATAGTAATAATAATAGAGTTAACCCGATAGAAATTGAACATCGAATGCATTACTGATAAAGAATTAAAAAGTACTTCTGAGACGAGAATACTTCGTGGCTTCCTGGCTTGAAATACGAATCCAAGGGCTGCAGCAGCACGAACAAGCGCACCTTCGTCGGGCGAAGAAGCTTGATATTGTAACTCACCACTTTTATCCCTTTCTGGAACAACCGTATGACAAATCGCCATCATCCGAAGGAACTCTTTGACAAAACCAGCTTTTTCCTAAACAACGAGTGTGTAACTGATAAGATTTCGGAAAACATAGAGATTCAAACATAGAGATTTGTTACGAATCATTAATATCTGTCAATAATCAACAAAAATGCAATTCTTTAATTTAATCAACAAAAAAAATACTCCAGAATCTTTCTTTTTCGCTTTTAAACTTCATGACTGTTTTAAATATGCCATTTTATTAAGAGGCTGTAGTCATTCGGTTCATTGCTCATGCAAAATGCTCTATGAATCAACTACTTTCTTTTTTCGAACGTGTACACTGCTAGGTCTTAAATAGTCTCTCATATTGATCGCAGACTTGATAAATGCCATAATAATAGAAACTTCCAAAGCAAAAGCTTACATCAGAAGTCTTGACGAGTTCCGGTAAGTTACAATCTTGAAAATCATCTGTTTCATCGTTTCCAAAATTAATACCCGCAACTGAACATCTTTTAAATTTCATAATATTACGAGTGAGTGTTCCGGTTTTATCGCTCATTATAAATTTTACCTTAAATATAACATTAAATTAATGATCAAATGTTACTGAAAATATTAATTTTAAGAAAATAGTAACAACAAAAACTGATACTCCTGATTTCATGAAACTTCGAATGAAGATAAATTCATCTTTATCTTATAATATTTCATTCCAAAAAAAGCTATTGCATCTTAACACACAATAAAAATGATTTATAGAAATCCAACATTATTCATATACACTTCTTATTCCCAACCTGCAAAAAATCAAGTCAATGGAATTAGCTGAATCCAGAACGCGTAAAAGATACAGCCTGCATCATTTACACGTTATCGATGGTGTTTAAATGGACAACAGAGACATGTAAATTAAAGCCATAAAACATGTTTCATAAAGTAATTTTCACGCAAATGTTCAACTACTCAACTTTGTAATTGTTTTACACAGATATGGAATTCTGAAGAAAATTTTTGAAAAGGGCATTTACCTGCCCCAATTCTTCATTTAAATTAGATGTTCTCGCAACAGCGCAACTATCTGTTCTTTCATCATACATAGCAATATCCTAAAAGTATATCATAATAAAATATATCTCACTTTCGGAATGCAAATACTAATTTTCATTTTTGCTCTGTTTACATTAGAATAATACTCAAAAATAAGGAAGACTCCAGTTCTGACAAATTTTGAATTTTATTTAAGAAATCAAGCCTCTCTGCATCAAAAAGTCAGAAAGCTAATAAGATATTCTATAATTTGAAAATAAAATAAAATGAAGTGAAAGCGTTAAAGCTTACATTATTTATATATATTGCCTGGAAAAATCGTACCAATTCAAGGGTGACTTGCAGTGAGATCGGGATTAAGTTATTGTACAAAATAAAGAAAGTTAGTGCATTCCAGAAAAAATCGAAAGACCCTTTTGCTGGAAACGTCATAATTTGAGAAACCAAGTTATATATATTAAACATGAAACTGAAGAGAAACAAGGAATATTATTCAAAATAAGTGCAGAGGCAACATGTTCAGTATATTATTAAAGTATTCCACATGTGATAACAGAGAAGCAGTATAATTTTGTTTCTAATTCCCTTTTTATAAGAGATTACTAGTACAAAATGATGATCTGTTTTATTTGTCAATTATATTGCAAGTTATTCAATACCTATCGACAAAAAAATACCGAAATTGTACTGGCTATCATAAAGATTTTGAGAAAAGAAAAACAAACCCTGAGGGCCAAGGTAATAAGCGTGCATTAGCCGTTTATGATCGAAGAAATATGCTCCAACAGCACTGATAAGAGCGAGGGCAACTAATACAAAGAACAGAAATAAAATGCGCCGATTGGTAATGGCATCAATTTTGGATCTGTAAATTTATGGAATCCTAAAATTTACACAGCAATGTATGACATTGAAATTGATATATAAAAGAACTTCATTGGAATAAAAATGCTTCACTGTGTATAAAATGAAATATTTCTTCAAAAAAGGAAAAAATTACTGTTTCAACGGAGCTACTTTTGAATTCATTAACAACTTGGCATCATGTCCTGCATACAGCACTACGCCACAAATCCACTGTGTATGTTTTAAACGAGCACCACGTAATAACAGTTGGGGAACACCTATAAAAATAGCAACTTTGTTGGCTTCTTTGTACAATCATAAAGCACCATATCTTATAAAATTTAGTCAGTCAGAAAAATTAACATTTCTTCCAATTACATAGTGCAATATGATCACAGCAATTAATTCAACAAACGATCAGATACAACTGAGCATTGAACAAAAAAGGTTCACAATTGCAATTGTCAACCTGCTACTTAGAAAGATATGTTTGGATCGCTCCCAGCTTTTCAGTATAAATTTTTCTAGTCATTTCATTACTATTAATTACAAATTTCCAGAACTGGGTTTTTGCGAGAATAACACAATTTTTTGAAAACAAAACAAACGTACTCAGAGGTCGCCGCAAATCTTGCATGTGTAGCGTTCCTGTAAACTCATTTACATTTTGATTTGGATGTTCACATTCGATCTTACATTGAAAATCTTTAATTTCTGTTGCAGTTATTAAATCCGATGTACAATCAAGTCCCTGTCGAATTTTAAGATTCGTCTCTCCATCCAAATTTGATGTTTCAATATAAGCTACACTTAGCGGTTCACTAGATGACAGCAATGCCATATCCGCTGGAAACATCTGATTATTTCCCACTCGTACAATATCGCCCACTTTCAACTGAAAGTTATGAGTCGATTTTTTAGAAAATCAAAATAATTATTTTAAACGCTTTCGTCAAGTGTGAATTTAAGATTTAATCTGCATCAATATAATTTCAATGGATTGCTCGAACCATCTAATTATTCAATTTAGTATGAATTTCAATGGCATGAATCCATATTATATTAATGCAATCTTATTTACCAAAGCATAAATTATTGACAGTTTCACAATTATTTCTTAAAAAAGGTGTTAAAATTTGAAGTTCCAATCTATAATTAGCTTAATAAGAACTAAATAATGTGGAGCGATAGGATTTTTGAGATATAACAAAGCTGTTTCGCGAACTATTTTAAATATTATCTTTCATTTTTAGGTATAAAAAAATGCTTTCAAAAAGTTTAAGCTCCTGTTGCTTCTGCAATTTCTTATCTATTAACATACAACTACTTATTTGATACAAAACTTACATTTTTCCAAAGGATATATTTCCACTCACGATCTCTAAGAACTGTGGCATAGTAATTATTAACTGTTTGATCAGATTTTCTTCTCTTCTGAAATTGAAAATACTAATTCGCTAAAATTCATCAATCGGTGATAATTCTTCCATTTTATTTTATTGCAGAATTTCTTTGCATGTATAATAATATATGAAACATTTTATAAAGCTTACGATGTCCTCAAATATTTCTTTCATAGCCGATACAGCTAAAATGATGATAAAGGGTCCCGCAGTTGTAAATCGACCTGTTGGACTAACACCGGGAATTTGCTGAAAAAAATTGCTGAAATAAATACGACGGCAGAAACAAATTTATTTAAGATTGAAGTATATCATAAACATTTAAATGGAATATAATTACAATTTTTATTCAATTCGTTACTAGAAATGGAGAAAAATACTAATTTCAGAAAAATATGTGAGCATTAATCTTTGCAAGCTATTAAAGATTTGAAATATGCGTTGAAATGTTTTGCATTGTATCGTGGACTATAAGAGAAAATTAATCAACCTGGAGAATCGCGATAATGAGAAAAAACACATTGCTATATCGTCTGAATTGTTCTCTTAAAAAGCGTGGAAAAAAAGAAAGTACGCTATATTTGGCGGTGCTGAAAATGACAGATAAAGAATTCAAAAATTCTTAAATATTTTTTTATAGACCACTATTATAGATTCCAATTATATCTTTTACAATATCTGCGATTCCTCTCATATAATAACAATGTATTTTTTATGCTGTCATAATTTGGAAATTTGGAAGTCCAAAAAACAGAAAACTGTTATATATTCTTCTGATTAATAATCATTTATTGTATCATGCCTGATAGCATTGGATCGATACTTCATGGGTTGTGAAGTCTGGTTGACATAAATAATTCGCGAAGTAGAAATACGAGAGGAATGTTGTGTAATTTTAAAGCCAAAAAAAGACATTATGAAAAATGACATGCAACTGGCCGTAATTCACTTATAATTTCCACATCTGTTAAGAGCTCCTCCTCGACGACCGAGCAATCATTAACAGTACTTCATCACAAGATCAGATCTAAAAATGAAAAGAAGTTAATATCGTGAAGCAATCAAACATAGTACTCTGATTGATGTACCAAGAAGAACAAAATCTGCGAGATTCCAAAAAAACTGCGACATTAAAAATTCAAAACTGAAGCATATCACTTCAAAATTATAAAAGATACAATTACACAAAGCAATGTGAATCCATATGAAATCCGAAACAAGCATGCTATTTACAGTAATCATCTGATATCAAGTAGTGTTGAATCATTTTAAATGAAGAATGTCATGCTACTTATCACTGTTTCTTCATTCTTAAAAATATGGCAAACATTAAACAATGCACTCATTATCATTGCAATTCTTCAACTTCAAACGTTGAAAAGCATTGTGAAGGGTATGAAAAAATTCAACAAGCTAATGTAAGGAACACCTTATTCAATATTTTTCATTACAATTATAATCTCAACACGGATCATATGCATAATATTGACAATCACATATAGTATGACTTGAAAAATAAACAAACTATTCGATATCATCTTTCTTCTTTTTTAGTTCTCACGACAAATTGAAATAATTCGAATGAATTCAGAAAATAATAAACTCAAATTCAACTACAAATATATTGTGCGGTGACTGAGACAACTAATGAGAGCATGAATCACTGATAACCAAATGCCGAAGCTGAGATTTTGAATTCCATTCCATTCAATTCAATGGAATGATGTCCTTTCTTTCTTCATTCTAAGCAAAATGAATATCAATTTTTAAGAATTTTAAAGACCATATAATACAGTATCTCACATTTTTTTCGTTCGTAATATTACGTAACTTGCGAAAAGAAGCTTTGATAGCTAAGTGATTTGCTCAACCATGATTAATTTTGAAGCAAACATTAACATCAAGAAACTTGCAAAAAAAAAAAAACAGGGAGCAGTAAATTTTAGAAGATAATTTCTGACAGTCCGAACAAATTAAAGATGAAACGAGATGTAAAACGGATGCAGAAAATAAAACACAATGAAGAAAGAGTCTCCCTTAATAATACTTCACTATACACCTATAACCATGATAGATAGCAGATCGACTTTAAAAATATCTCTGCATCATTTCATCAGATAAGAAATAACCATTCATGAAGTATTTTAAATCACGAATTAATTATCCACCAGTAAGTCATTTAATGTCAGAGACAATGCTTCATCAAATACACGAGCAGATAGAATTATCACAACAGAGCAATTTTATTATAACTGTTAAAATTGTGCATAATAGCATTTTTGGGCCGCGAATTTTGCATTACTATAATCAAGTTTAGACATATTTAAACTATATACAGTTCCCTAAAAAAGATATTCGACAAATGCTTAAAAGTCATTTTCTGAATCCTTATAGGAGCATTTCCGTGCAAAAAGTTGCTAAAGTGGTCACTCAACAATGACCATTTTTCATGGTACAAACAAATACTTGAAATAAAAAAGAATTTCAGGAGACTGTGAGAGATTAATGAAAGAGAAGAATTCAAAATACTACTTAACATACCACTTCCATTCACTATGATTATCCTAAACAATAACCTCACCAAACAGCAACCTTTTCCCTCCCCCGCGATCAACCAGAACTCTTCCCCTGCGATCAATCGGTACTCTTCCCGTCCCGCCCCGTCCCGTTTCCCTTCTCATCTATCCACAATTTCCATCTTTTCTTGATGGTAAACAACTGTACTCTCATCTTCCTCTTGCATTCCATCTTCTAACTTTCCAATCATGTGACGGACTGCTTCGCAAATTTCTCCTCTTTCTGTTCCCTCTCTAATCTTTAAAGTCTATCTTCTCTTCAAACTCTAACAATCTTACCAATCTTTGACCATTCGATTGCTTCATTAAATCACGTCTGAGTGATCCGGTGGAGATAGCGTCGGTCGGAATAGCTTTTCCAGTTAGCATTTGTACCGGTTATTGAGGCAATACGGGAGAGGTTGCCTAAATTAACCGAAATGGCAAGTTGAAGCGCGTTGAAAATTTTCGGAAAAGGTGAACTTTGTTATAAGTATTTTTTTCCGGAAACATGGATTGCATATTTCGGGTGAGCTTGTATGGATAACGGATCAACGGAAGTGGATAGTACGTGGTTGGAATGCACGAGAGGGGTGTAGGGTGTATATGCGGATGGCACAGCACGGGAAAAGACTGGTCATCCGGTCACTCCGAGCCGCCTACATACTTGCTTTTCTTTTTGCCTTCAGCCTATTTTACTTCGTTATCGAAAGTGGTCTTCTAGCTTGGCTTATACAAAATGCTTTAAACATTTCTGGGGTAAGTCTCAATTTATTTCTTTCTATGCTTTTCACATAAGTTTAACTTTTTCAATTCAAATTTTCAAAAAGCCACTTTATCTAGTTCACTTACAGTAAATCAATATGTATTTCAACTAGAGTTCCTGAAAATGGTATAAATTTGCCTCGCAAAATGTAACTCCTCAAACGGCTTATTTTAATTAATTTTGGATATGTAAAAATTTTTTGGATTTACAATTGTTGATTTCTCTCTCATTTTTTGTTTTTCAATCCAAGAATTAGTTGAATGATTGTAAAAAAATGATTAACATCCATATAATTTGTAATTTTCAGCAAGATGTCGAGGAGCAGATGTTAGACAAGTATAAGCTAACAGCACATAGACGTATCCAGTGGTTAGCAGATAGTAGTGGACGAAATATGAATACAGTAAATGATAGTTTTGTGAACAATGAAGTCTGCCGTAATACAGTACAAGGAAGGACTTTTGTTACTGATGACAGAGGTAATTTGAATTCACATAAGGTAGGGCCAAGTTTATCTAACAGTCCATTTTTATGCATTTCATAAATTTTGGTTCGTAAATTTCCAGTTGTTTTCATCATCTGAAGAGGATTTGCAGAGGTTGAGGTATTCACATTTTTTAAAGTGAAAAATTGACTTCTAATTTTTGTATATTACACGTGTAAATACTTCACACAAAAATATTACTTTTTTTCTTCTCATCTTTTTCATATGGCTTGCTTTTTGGATATATTTTTCGCAGAGCAATAGAAATAGTTTTAATTCCTAGCAAAGTTATTAATCTTTTGTTAATATTAGATTGTGCAATTTTTTATCGTTCAGGTTACACATGTGAAAGAGCTTTCCTGATGTCGAATGGTTGCTGTGAAGTGGGTACTCATTCAGTGCGCTTTAGCTGCGCTTGGTGTGACCTTTATGCAGGTTGTTGTTCTCACTACGAGCAGTGCGTTTCCTGTTGTTTGAGACCAGAACAGGTACATTTTTGATGCAGTTAAAATTAAAATTAAAGGAAATAATGGATTGTTTGATGCCAGATTTGTTCTCTTCTTTACAACATATTTCTTAGTAGCCAAACATTTGAAAACTTGCAAAGCAATTTAGTCAAATTGATTTTTGATATAAATTGCTAAAGAAAAAATTTTTATAGAAAAATATACTGCTAAAAATGATAGAGTCGACATCTGGGCATCGATTACGACAGATACTGTCTGCGACAGACCAGTTCGAGCTTTGCATGCTGAAATGTCGCACTTCTTCAAATGTAAGGATATAAAAATTTCTAATTTCCAGATAGTTGGCTTTATCTGAATACCTCACTTTTCCTTTTCTGAAATAAAGGAAAGCTAATTAGTTACTATTATGCAAACATATTAGTGGAATAAAAATGAGTAACATTGTGAATTGAACACTAATTGTTTTTATAAAATTTTTGCTTATAAAATATCAAATATTGCATAAGAAGTGTATGAATGACAATGCAGTTTTTTAATGAAATAAATACATTTCCAGAGCGTACATTCGGAGAACAAATACAAAAGCGAGAAGATGAAATACTGTTATAAGCAAGAGCCGAATCGTCCTTTTTCACGATAGTATATAATTAAGCTTACTCTTTGGTGAAAATTTAGATGACTTCACAGCATCGGGTTGCGGTAATATTCTGATGTCAATTTTATGTCTTTTTATGCATAATTTCAATTCTGATTATATTCTTTAATTTATGAAATTCGTTAATTATAAAATTTTTATGATCAATACTGATATATTTCATATATGATGTATATGCATTAAGATAGCTTCTAGCTATGAACGGTAACTATCGAAGAGCTTTAAAATATTCCTAGAGTTTTATCTGTAATCGCTTTTGTATAGTCCTTTTTATTAGGAAATGCATGTTTGATATAGGTTTAAATTTAGCACTGTAACGAATTCACCTTTCAAATTAGTAAATAAATTGTCTGGAGAAATACATTAATTTATGTTATGCATATCTTTCAGTATTCTGATTGCAGACCTTCATTTTCTGTGTATAGGAATGTTACTGTAATATTTATTTATTTTTTCTTTCATGTTGCTGATTTTTTCATATTCGTGTCATGCATGTAAAGAAATCAGACATTTTAAATCTTCAGAGAAGTTGAAATAAACCTGTTTATTCTCACCAAACTGTTGACATTAATTTTTTCTGTTGGCAACGGTTTCTTAATTACGTATTCTTCATTTTCATATTTATTTTGAATGAAAAAAAAAAAACTTATTATTTATTCTTTATATTCCTTCGACTATCTTAACGGAGTTTATTTTTCAGATACACATGCGTCGCATAATTCTTGGAATAGAGGATTTATTTTTATAGGCACATATTATTTGCAGCAATTTTGCTTAAAATTGGAACATTCGGTTGGCTTGTTAAGAGTTGCTTTCAGAACATTTGTATAATTCATAAGAATGTGGAAACTATTAGCTTCGGTGTGAAGAAAAGTGTATATGATGCAAATCTCATATTACTACAATCCACTGCACTACAACGAAGTGTCTGTTATAGTATGGATTGTAGTAATGTGAGATTTTGTTTCTTTTTTTCTTCTCTGAAATTTTGGTTGAGGCGTACATAACTGATACTCCCACGATACTTAATTAATGACAATTGCAGTTGCATAATGAATTTATCATGGTACCATGGAACGGTTTTACCTACAAAAAATAAGCTGGAATTGTTGTTTGCATTGGAACGTGGAGCTGAAAAAGCAAGGTATGTATTTCATAGTGATTTCGTATCGATCCTTTGATTGCTGTGAACTTAGTCTGCATATTTGAGACCATATTAGCTACAGTAAGCTTAATATATAAATTAGTTGATCCAAATTTGGGTCAGTAATTGATTTATGCTATGGATAGAGTATGTATTCCGTCAGCTGTTTTGAAAGACTACTACACGTAAGGATTTTCATTTTTACCAGTTTTAACAGTCTGAGAATATATTAATATTCACTTTGCATGAGACTGTTTAGTTAATTTGAATTATTGAAAGATGGAGCCATTTAATCTTCAAAAAATTATTTATAGGCTTTGGCAGTCATGGCGTCAAGTTGTAATTTGGGTCTTACCAACCATTTACTTCATTTTCGACGTGAGTATTTTAAATTGAAAATTTATGTAGTTGATTTAGAAGTTGAAATTTTTCCAGTCAAATAAATTCCAATTGCATCTTAAATTTCATATTTCGAATTACTCTAGAATGAGTTTTTAAAATTTTTCTAATTTTATTTTTGATTGCAGCGTCGTATTTCTTCTTTCATTAATGACATTTTTTGTATTATTATTGAACCTATGCAAATGTCTGGAGACATATGTTTTTTAGATTTTCGCTTTGAATTGTACTATTTGCGCAAGTTTGATTTCTTTCTTTTTGCGATATGATAAAGTTTATTCAACGACATATGTAGTCGAGATCACGGCTCTTTTCATTTGTTTGCTGAATTTACTAGTATGTTTTTTCGAAGCGACAAAATGCTCTTACTGTATTACGAAGAGAACGCCATCGAAACTTACACCACGAGTTTCCTCACGTGGAACCATTGATCAGAGTGCGATTAAATATTTTGCATATGTAAAAACTTTTTGATCCTAGGACTAGTGCTTGTCTGTTTGGCAAATAACCTTATGACAGTTTAAGAAACATGAAGAAACATTAATTTGTAAGAAAGGACCGCAATTCGCAAAGGTAAAGAATATCATTGTAAAGAGTGGTTTTTGCATTTGACGAACATGACATTAGTCCAACATTTTGAGTGAAACTAGTTTCTGATCATTCTTCTGGAGAAAATAATATTTGTTTAACAATTATTTTAGTTTCATTTTTCAGGTGGCTGCAGCACTTCATCACCTCTCATGTCAAATCGGAATTTTATCACACAGTGGCTTTCAGCTTTACATTTTGGCAAAGTAGCAGCATTTTCTCAGAAAAATTTATTTTCATCAAATTATATAAGGCATAATCTGAGTAGCTCCTCAATTTCATCATCGTTTAATAGGTGATTTCTTTGAAATTTTCAAACATACATGTAATTTAGCTAAAGTCTGTAACTGCGGTCTTTTTTGACATAAGTGAAGGTCTTCAGTAATTATTTAAACAAAATTTCATACAATTCTGTACTCTTTCGAAAAAGTTGCACCAGATTATCAGTTCTCATCTCTTTTCAAATATTATCAGAAAATTTTTTTGTTTTAAAATCATTTTGGGGACAAAAATAATGACATTTTTTGATCAGTTTCGAATAAAAGTTTTCAGTCGCAAGTCAGGAAGCACATTTAGCAACAGTGCCTTTCTCACGCATTCAACACCATTGGTTGATCACCATTCCTCATATGTAGAAAGACATTCGAGCCATTCTGTACCGTTATCTGCGAAAGTTGGTTCAAGAACATCCTTTCGCAGTCGTCCGATATCTTCAATTCAGACAAATAAACAGCTAGAAGAGTATCTTCAAAAAAGGTTAGAAACATGCCTAAAAGTATAAACTCGTCTATGCCTTAGATGATTCTTCCTAGACTACATAGCAGATAGCCATCTAAAGCGATCTGCTTCCATCTAGAGACTAGAAACTCCATATAAAGACTCTACCAGTCGCCATAAGTTCGATAAATATCTTCTATTTTATAAAAATTAAATTCATTTTTATTAAAATATAGTGCACTGTAAGAAAATCATCGAGTGCAATAAAAAATTTTATGTGAACTGGAAAAAAAGTTCAAAATTTTTCAGTCATCAAAACAATGAATTGTTGAAAAGTACTGTGGCATCATTTTCATCATCTTATGATTCATTATCGTCTCCCGAGTCCGAATGTATCACTGGTATTTCTCAGTCGTTTTGTTTGCCATCTTCCAAAAATAATAGTTACGGACTTGGAACTGCCATGTATGACGATGAACAAGGAAGAGTGGCAGACGATGAAAATAGTGTTGTTTCCCTAGTAACAGGTTGCGTTTTTTTTGGATTGTGTGCTATGCATTGTTTAACTAATGTGTTAACATTAATCTAATTTCTTTCCTGTAAAAACTAATGCATCGCTCAGAGTTTGAAATTAAACATTTAAATTTTAAGATAAATTTAGTTAAGTGTGCATAAATCATGCAAGCGCAAATTCAGCTCTATTTACTGTCGATATAGTGCAGGTTTTGTACTTTTGATATGGAACAAAAAATCAGAAATGTCTTGTATGGAAAATTTAATAATGTGAGATTTATGTGATCACATGTCTCATTTCTAGCAGTTCTGCTGATAATGTTGCAGAGGAATCATTAGTATTCGCAAAACACAATATGAATTTATAGATTCATATTTTTATTTAGGCAGTCGTATAACGGTAACCGACAAACGCATATCATTATCGCCAATTCCATTGAATTTGATTGAAGTTCGCAACGAATTGACTGCTGAAGATGGCAAAAGCATGACGAGTGATGGGACAGGCATTGCACGAAATGCTGATAATGATAGCATCACATTTCGTGTAAACTATAATACTGCAAAACGGTCACCAAAAAGAGGACAACGTTTGTGAAATTCAATTTAGTTCTGAAGTTTTTGCTAAAACTTTTCTGTTATTAGTAATTTTTAAGTGTGATATATTTAAAAATATCATGATTAGTGAGATAAAAATATGACTTTGTTCCCTTCGGTGATTGGGTACAATATATTGAAATGAGTATTCATTTCAAGGGGTAGAATTCTCAAAAATTCAGTTTTTCTTTCAGAACTATGACATTCTTTTTACTAAATTTTGGAAAATGGAAACTTTATGCTTTTTACTAATTGTGCTTACTTCGTCTGAATTCTTGTTTGACAAGTTCTCAATGCTCGATCGAGATTTTCAGGATTTACTCCTCCGTTGTTTCGTCGATCAGAAAATAATGAACGTCGTCGGCATTCTAGCTCATTTTCACATTCACATTCTCCAAACCAACTTCCAAATATTGTTCAGTTGAACAGAATTGAAAACAGTCCTACTACTGGCAAGCAGATACCAATCACTTCTTCAGAAATATTGAACCAGTAAGAATTTTTGCGTTTCAGATCCTTTTTTTTCTTGGTGACTAAAAGATTTGAGGGATGAAAGTTTTTAGAGCGAGTCAGGTTTTATATTGTAGATATAAAATGGATGCTGAAGACTTCGCTGTCGGTGAACGTAATTTACGCTCTTGGATTTGTCAAACAATTTTACGTCCGCTCATTGCAAAAGTTGATGAAATTAATGCGGTCCTTGCAAAGGCATGTTTTTTGCAGTTTCAAAAATTTCTTTCAGTTAGATGAAGTTAAATGAACTCATCATTACTATAGAATAACTGTTAGGTGCCTTTCAATTAATTGCTTTTAAAGAATCATTTAAATAGTAATTCAGTATTGTAAAGTACCAACTCTTTGTTAGTTTCAAAAAAATTAAGTTTTGGAATTGCAATGATATTGACATCCAATAAAAACTAAGTTTAGATAGAATGATTAAATAAGTAAATTTATCTAATAACAATGAACTAACAAAAAATAGACAGATAATTTCAGTCTCACGCACATTTGCATTTCAAAATCGGTCACTCATCTGTAGAGGCGCTTCAAACTGCTGCTTCGTCGAAGAGCGATTTGTTGAAATCAGCTCTGCCATACGTTTTACCATATCTCAAAATACATGAAAGACAATCTTATTTGATTAAAAGATGTCGGGAATTATCTGCAGATGTTTGTATGAAAAATTATAATTGGCAAGGCGGGGGATTTGAACTTGTTGAAAGGAAAGAAGAAGGTTGTTGTTTTATTCTAGTCCTAGATTAAATTTCCATTTTTTTGAATTAATTCCTTTTTCAGCTTTCTTTCTTTTCGATAAAAGAGAGAAACTATACAATTGCGACATTTTAATATGAAAAATTCAAGCACAGTTGAATTTAATCGTTTTTAATTAGGTATTCAGAGAATTCTTGATTAAAAAAAATACATTAGGCGAACAAGGTTATTCACCAACAGAATGTGCGTGGGGTCCTCATTTGCCAACAGATGCCCAGCTTATTTGGTCGTGGTTTGCAGCTTACATGAATGCACGGTAAATTTAATTTCAATAATTTCAGTCTATATATTTCTAATTATTGCTAAAATCAAGTACTAATTTATGCCTTTATTAAAAGCTCAAGCGAATACTTTTCATAGGGAAATTGACAGATTCACTTGATGCTGAAAGTTATAAAAAAAGTTTTTTACAGGATGGGAACAAATCCTTTGGTGACTGATATCGAAATGCCGTTTTCATCAGTTTTCTATCTAAAGAAGCCTTCAAAGCCATCGCCATTGCAGTGTATGAAAAAGTCGTTCTATATTTATCAGGTATTTGGCTAAAAAACTCCACCTTTTGGTCATTCTATGTGTTATTTCTCAGTTAAGTTAATCTTTAAGTTCATCAACTAATATTAAGCTTTCATTATATCAAACTTTCAGAGCAGCATTTATCCTCCACACTTTGAACTGGTACTCGATGGTGGCCGTGAACGTTTCGAAGTTGATCGCGGCACGAAAAATCTTTGGCGAACAATATTGCTTTTTATACAACATATTCGGCTGTTTAACGGAGGCCGGTTGGATAATATAAAAATTGATGAAAACGGTATCAATCTTGCTTGCGTTTTGGAGTAGGTGTTGTTATAAATGACTGTGGCAAGGAATTTTCATTTAAGTTTCAAATGAAAACTGCGGCCTTTTTCAATTCTGGATGATCGAAAATTAGATTTTTCTTTCACTTTATTCTGAGTATTCCAAATTATCTTTCTGCTCTATTTCCGATTTGAAATTGAGATCGCTAGGTAATTCACTATTTATGTATGTTACACCTAAGGGATTTCAGAATTTTTAAATTTTTGATTGATTTGTTTTTTTCTCAATGTTTTAAACTGCTTTATCCGCGTTGTTAGCCTTATAATCTGTTTTTTAATATTACCTAGGCATTCATGAATGTTATTTCTGTTATTTTTAGTATTTATTTTACATTTTATTATAATTTGTTCACTAATATGACATCCTCATGTGAATCATTCTTTAGATAAGTTATGAAAGGTTTTAGGATTTCACTTTTTTCTTCGGAAAAGCATTCAAAACTGTAACTTTAATTGCCGTTTCTTACTTCAAATAATAAATTGATTTGGAAATTTTTTGGCATTCAAAATTTTTGGCTATCACCTAATGTTGTATCCCCAATTATGATCTCTCCATATGTTTTTTTTTTTGTTATGGATTTGTTGTATTTCAATTAGTTTTTAAAACTGGATTTTGCTTATTTAAAGGGCTTTCTACAATTCCATATGTTTCAATTTCTGTTCACATCAACTTTTCGTTAATGAAGATGCAAACAAAATGTGGAGAGACTGTTTGTGAAAAAAATAAATGATAACTATAAATAAACATATTGGAAGATGTTTGTAGAAACTATTTAATAAAAGTAAAGAAAAAGCGGAAAACTGAGATCATGAAGAAAGGAGGTACAAGCGAGAATTCATATCATTGAGAAGACATGTACAAAATATCATTATAAATATTTTTTGGTGCTGTCATAGAGCAATCTTCTGAAACCAATTTCTGTTAAGTATTAGTAGGAGCTCAAGATCGTCATGATTGTCATCAATATCTCAGTAATTTTTCCTTGATACTTATTACTACTATGCTATAATTATCATTTCATACTAAATGTTACTCCGTAGCCAATAATTTTGCTCTTCTAACATTATCATCATCATCATTGGTATGTTTAGTATTGCAATTCATTAAATGATCACTATCATTATCATCATCATCATTATTTTTGTTTTAACTATAGATACAAATTTGCTATAATATTATAAACAGTCACTAAAACGTTTCCTTTTCGATGGCTCAATTTGATAAGATAATTCCATTAAACGCCGCTGATTGTCGATCACTTTGAAATTCCTACAAACAGCACAATCGATGGATCAATTTTTTTAAAAGATAGGAAAGGAAATCCTAAAGAATTTATGAAATTTTTGAAATATTTAAAAATTTCTAACACAATGAACAATTCCGTATGTTATCTGTAATAACATGTTAATAGCAGGAAAAAAAAAGGAAAATCATCACCTACCTAACAAGGCTTTTTGATTTGAAGGCTTTTCGTTCGAAGGGAGCAACTGAAAAAAAAATTATTGAAATAATTACAGTGATGTATTCGGCACTTAAAAAAGAGTGTGAAGATATTATCACTGTTAATTGATAACATTTTAATACCATTTTTAACAATGTTCAATATATAAGTAACAAAAATATACTGGGAATAATTTGGCGAACACTGTACAAATATTATTCGGATATTAATCAAAACTTTCACTGATAAATTAAGACTGATAGTTGTAATGCAATTCTAAAAGCACACCTGGATATTTGCACTGCCTAAAGCTTCGCAAAACGTTAGCAATCATATGCTAAAATCATTTCAAATACATCATTACTCTTCCGATAAAACGAGTATTGGAAAGAAAAAAATATGAATTTTTGACAAATATTTTGAATAAAATGAAGCATAAAAGATATCCTTTTTAAAATTTACTTCCTGTTATTCTATCTCGGTCCAATAATTGGAAACCAAAAGGAAAAGAAATTTTTGGTATTGAGTTACATAGTAAATTTAATTTGGAATGAAATTTACGATATATATACGTGAACAATGAAATAAGGAAAGCTTGATTATTTTGAGTTTTTGAGATTTATAAAAATTTTGAAATTTATAAATGGACAAATGTGCTTTTGTAAATAATTCAAATTAATTTTACAAGCTGCATGCAATATTGTATAACAATGAAATTATTATATTTATCAATTCTTTATCAAAATATTGTATAATAATAAAATGATGTTTACCATTTTTTCGAAATTGATTAAACCAGCGAAATAGGTCTTATTGCCTTCATGCGTAAATGTTAAATCCTTGAGAAGTAATGGAATAAATGGTACCGTTGGCGCATTCATATTAGCTGTAAGCATCCGATAAGCACGATGATTACGGCATGGATCAAGCAATTCTTCAAATTCCGCATATTGTTGTTTCATTTTAGTTGGAAGTTTCTAAAAATAACAATATTTAATTGCAAAACTTGATGCAATGAACATTTGCGCCTGATAATGGAATATATTAAGGCATTCTACTTTTTTATGGGAGAGAATAAAAGTGAAATTAGAGAGAGAAAAAAAGTTTACTATTTTAAATAAACTTACATCCCAAAGATGAGTAATCCGACTAACAGCAACATTACTGAGACCTAAAATAATCGCAAAAAACGACAATAAGTCTCTGTTTTCTTTTGCGCTGCAAAAATTAACATATTTTTATTTTAATATTTTTAATAAACTAAAATATGAAGTAAGTTATAAAATAAATTTTAGAAGAATAATTTAATCATTTTTTTCATTTTATAAATGAATTAATTAAAAATAGGTTAAAAAATTAAAATTTCCAAAAAGCATCGGAATTAAAATGTGAACATCAATTTTCTTGATGTAAATATAAGAAGCAATGAATAAGCAAGTTTCAATTTCTGCTGTTAATTTCAAAAAAAAGCATAAAATTCAAAATTTTTATTGTTTTATTATATTTCAAAAATTTTTTAAAAGTTCGTTTTTGAATTGTGAAATTTTATGAAACATACTGTGTAGCAATTTTGATAAATTTTTTGAGAACTGAAAGACGTTTTGTATTGCCTTGAGCAAGCAATACTTCCGTTGTTGTCCAAAATTGTACCTCATTGAAACGACGCATTAAAAGATCCAAATTTGATGTTATCCGATTGGGAAATTGTTCATGTCCAAATACCTAAATTAATTTTAAATTTTTCAAAAAATTAAATATTTGAAATTTAAAAAATTTTATGGTTTCTTTTTTTCCTGTCAGAAAATTTTAGTATGAAGAATAAATGAATGAATATATGTGATGACCTGAATGATAAGTTCAATATCATCGGTTGCTTCTAATAAATGAGTGTGAAAGATGAGCAACTGTTGAGCAATGTCAACACTACTTAAACAATCAAGCAATGAGGAATGAATACTTTCTGATGGACCATTTTGTTGTGGTACTGGTACCTGAAATTATTTTAAAATTAATCTTTCGAAAAGAATAGACTATAACTTTGCTTCTTCCATTATTACAATGTAAAACATTGATCAAAATTCTGCATAATCTTCAAAAAATTAAGTAGATTTAAAATTTACAAAAATTTCTCAAAATTTTCATCACTTTAAAAGAATTTAATACAAAAAAATGATTGAGATTCAAGAATTTTAGTGATAAGTTTAATATCATCGGATGCTGAAAATGAGAATTATTAGCCTCAATTTTAAATATCTTTTTTTTTAAAGAAGACAAATCTATTCGAGCATTAGAAGTTACCAGCATTTCAATTTCATCGCTGTATGCAATATACAAACGTCCGTTCAATGAAATCATTGTTGGAACACTGATATCATTCGGTGAAAAAATTATTCGTTCTGGAAAAATAAATGATATTAAAGAATATATTTTTGACGATTTTTTCTAATCATTTAAAAAAGTACAAAATGCTGAAAAATTAATTGATTAAAAATTTGCAAAACTAATAGCAATAACAACTTTGCAGCTAAACTTTTTGTTTAAAGTCGAAGAAAATTTTCATAAAATTAAATTAAGTTTTGCAAGAAACTGTAATGCTAGTGAATGTTTGGTTTATTCGTTAATTTTCTCGGCTATTAATAATTTCTTTTTATGACAGCGAATTTTCTTAAATCCCTGTTAGATAATAAAGTGTTAAGAAGATTTCTGTATTTAAAATTCTCCAAAATTTTTGGAAAAAAAAACGACAAAATGTTTTATCTTTATCAATTACAATTATTGAAAATTTGAATTTTGCAATAAAGATCTGAATTTCACAAAAACAAAAAACAAAAAATCCATAATTTGCAAAATTTACCTCCACTACTTTTTACTTCAACTAATTGCAATTCCTCATTAGAGCCACCGTAACGCATTTTTGTTTTTGCCATTTCACAGATATCAGCAGCAGTCTTATCAAGTCTTATACTCAGTACGAAAGAACTTGTATCGGATAGGTAAATTACTTGATTACCTAAAGAAAAAAATCAATCAACAGATATGCTCTTACTGCAGTAAGGAATAATGATAACAATAAATAACAATAGTAACAAAAAATGATAATAATATCGGAAAAGAAATTGCGAAAAATTCAACAAATTGTGCAAAATTAACTAAGCAATTGCGATTTTAAGCAAATGTAAAGGAAAGAAAAAAAATTTAATGAAATATAGCAAAATGTTACGAACAGGTATCAAATGGCAGTACAGGATTTGGTGCTGGTGCATGACTACAATAAGTACCACAATCAAGTACTACTGATGAATGTCTATTAATCGTTTGCATTGCACTTTCACGAAGTTGCCGTATTGCACACATTGGTGCTAAATTTGCTAATATCTCCGGGAATTGCTGACTATCTTCCAGAACATAGCAATATACTTCCTGTAATCTAATTTTTTATTTCAACTGATAGGTTAAGATTATTCGAATTTCTTTCTTCATTTTTATCATTTCCATACAATTTTTTTTGTAATTTGTAATATTTTTAGAAAAATTTATCACTACACTGTAAACTTCCACTCATTTTTAGCATTATAAAAAAATTTGTTTGATTAAGAAAAAAAATTAATTATTTGTTGAATTTAATTTTTTTTTTTTAAATGGTAAATTAATTCAGTTGAAATCTGTAAAACGAGAACTGAAATAGTTTGACCTCGATAAAGCTATTTGATGCAGGGTCAATGAAGAATCGTAGACCAACAATTTGTACCCATAAATTTAAAAAGGCAACCACACGTCGTTTTGCAACGATTTTATGCTCATAATCATCTATTGGCAGTGTACCATCCATTCGAACCTGCAACAAAAAAAAAGAAAGACGGGTGAAAATTAACAATTTAAAAAGATCGAAAAATTATTTGAAAGATATTTTAATAACATTGGCATTAAAATAACAAAACTTATTCAATTTTTCTTTCTTAAATTTCTGACTTCAAATAAAAAAATCTGATTGAAAATTCATGTAAATTGTAAAAAATTAAGTTCTTTTCGATAATTCAATTATGCATATTAATATCAAAACATAAATTCCAAAAAAGATTAACAAATAATGATAGAAAGATAAAATATTTGACACTGATTGAAAGTTGAAAATAACTGAAAGTTTAAAATGATTGAAAATTGAAAATAACTGAAAGTTGAAAAAAAAAACAAATTTTTTTTTTGTTTTAAAAAACATACAGTTGAACCACGCATGTAATAATTTTTCAGATAACTGCATAAAATGTTAACGGGCATATGAATGATATGTGTGAGAATAAAATCCTCCAAAAATTCATCCATTAAGCCATCATCAGTTTGTGCATCAATTCGAGTTTCCAACAAATATTCCACAGTTTTTTCCGGTAATCCAGCCATTACGGAATAACTAAAAATCATACAGTTTCTTTTTTCTCTCTCTTTTTCAAAATTTTTTTGCATTCACTGAATTCTTTTAATGGATTTAAAAATTTTGGTCAGCGTATGCAATGTATATTTTAAAAGTTTAAAATAACACTGAAAAATCACAAACTGTTGGATGATTATCCATTTTATTTGTAGCATATAAACATATAAGCATATAAACGATTGATAAAAATAAAAACAACATAAGTTTGACGTTTTAAGCGTGATAATTTTTATAATGTTTTAATTTATCATTAATATTATATTATTCATTTAAAATGCTACTAATATTTCATTTTATTTTGTAAAGTTATTTCAGATATTTCAGTTTTTTTAAATCTAAAATGGTGTACATTAAAGCGATTTAACATGCAAAAAAAATGAAAGGTATGCAAAATTTTTTTGAAAATAAAAATGTGCAACTGCAAGCTTTTGCAATAATAGCAAAGTTTTGCTGTAAGAAACAAAGAATTAGTTGTTTTTTTTTAAACTAGCTAAGTTCAATATCAACCGGAAATAAACTAACAAATGCGTACAGAAATATGTGTGATTAATCATTTTTTTAACATATCAAGAAACAGAACATTTGAAATTCAAAAAAAAATTTCACTTCAAAACTGCTGAAGATTGGGAAAATTTTTTTTTTGATTTTCGTTTTTGAGAAAAAAGGACGAAAAATCTGATCCCAAAACGGAAAATTTGTATTTCTTTTTAAAATTTAACAACATGCAAACGTTTTATGTTTTTTTCAAATTATCAAAGAAAAAATATCGAACATAAATGAATCAACACCGAAATTCCAAAACAAATATATTAATTTCAAAAATTACAGTGAATGATAAAACTGATAAATAAATAAGCTGAAAATTGGAACTAAAATACGTTTAACATTTTTCTAATTTTCAACATTCTCATTCACTTCATCAATATTAAATATTTGGTGAATTTTGTAAATTGTTTAATAAATATTGAAATTATATTAGCTAATAAAAAAAACAAATTATCGCTCAAATATGAAATAAATCAAAATTACATTTGAAAATAAAAATAACCTGCCAATAATTTATAACAATAAGAAATGGATACAAACCAGCATTTTGGCTTTAAGTCTATTGGTAAATCTCGGGTGGAATTTGTTGCTGTAGTATTAATTGGAATTGATAGATAAGAATGATGGGTATCATTAAATGTTCGATATGTTGCATTCATCTTCTCCAATACAAGCACATCCTGTCCGTGTTCTTTTAATCTTACCGTATTTGCTTCAACATCACGTAAAATGCTGCAGAAAAAAAAAGTTCAAAATCATTTCTCATACCTAAAATTATAAATAATCATTTAAACTCTTCAAATAAGAATGATAATTTTTTTAATTATAAATTTTTGATTTAATTTTTGATTTATGATAAATGTATGGATATTATTGTTTTTGTAAAAGATAATAATACATTTATATCAAAGCTTTAAAACATTTTGTCTCAGATTAAAAAGAAAAATTAATTTTACATTATTGAAAAAATTGAAATTAGAAAAGTATTGCTAATAGTTAATATACAATATAATAAATTATTTTCTGATAAAAAATTCATGAAATAATGTTACAAACTACAAATGTTAACGAATATAATGATGAGGGATAATTAATGATTAATCTTTATTTGACAACATTTTGACATTTCACATTCTTCAAGTAAACAAAAAAAAAGGCTAAACGAAAATTGAGCAATTTCTTGTAACAAGATCAACAAAATAATTTCAATATTTCAAACAATCTTTTAAATGCTATCAAATGTCAAAATGTTATCAAAATAAATATGAGTTAATAAAAATAAAGAATTTGTCAAATATAGAAAGTTCATTGAAATCTTCCGAATATTTCCTATTGCTGGGGAAAGATTATTATCAGAATCATATCAGTGAAATAAAATTTTCAGAATGCACTTCAAAAGGAATCCAATTGAACCTGATGAAGAGCATTATTAGAGAAGAGGAGAAAAAAAGGTTGAAGAAGAAAAAAAGGATGAAATTTGCATCCTGAAAATACTACGACACTGATAAATATTTTTGCAATAGAAAAGTTTTACGCATTATTAATGAATATTATTATTAAGTAAGGATTACCAAACACTTATTTCTTTTAATTTTTCTTATGAAACTGTTTCGGCAATCCTTTCTTTTTTTACATACTAAAACAGTTCCATTAACAGTCAGCTGTTAATAGTTATTTTATTAAATTATTAAGATTTTTTTATTATTGATTGATTAGTTTCAGCAAAGTGAATGATACTGATCAGGAAGAGAGTACGAATTTATTTTCCATGATTTAAGATACTAACATCTTAATGAGTAAATCGTGGTAAAATCATTTGAAAAATCGATATTATTAAATTTCTAACAATTAGTTATCGAGTACTATGAAATAGTTCAGATATTTTGCTAGTCCGTTTTGCATTGTAACATGCGCAAAACTTCTGGTAAAAAACTATACAGTAGATTTTATCGTAAATTACTCATAAGGTAATTAATCTACGAAGTTGCGCCTAAATATGTTAGTGAGCGCATATGAGGATGGCGTGACATGCAGAATGAAACGATGCATAATTTGTTCGCATGTAAAATAAAATGCGCTCGATGAATAGACGACAACATTTACTTCTGTGGCTCATTTTCTAACTGCCAAAGATGTCCACCTACTGGCCAGGACCCAGTAAAATATAATAGTTGTGGTCACTGTCAAAGTATGTGATATGAGCGACATATATTTTCGAAACCTTGATCAAACTAGGAAGGTAAACTGCCACATTAATGACAAATAAAGAAATGATTATCAATTTAATATTAATAGTAATCCTAAAAGTCAGTAGTCGTTACTGAGGTTGGCTGATAAAGAAAATTTAATATTTGTAACGTACTTATTTGATCTGGAAAGGTAATTCTGGAAAATTTTTAAAAAGTTGCAACACATTACAATGATAAGGCTTCATCAGTAATATTAATCCTAAAAGAATCGCAAATTTAAAAACTGAATCCCTGGAGAAATTGGCATGAAAAAGTTTACTCGATATAATAAAACAAAATTTAAAAAATTTTAATAATGATGTTCTAAAAAAAACTACTTGAAAGAATCCAAAGAACAAAAAAAAATCAAAATCCATAAAAATTGATTAAAATTAAAATACCTCGTTTAAATAAACTTTTCCCTCTCCCCAACGATAGTTAATTTAAGCAAATAAGAATGAGAAAAATTGAAATAAATGGTAATAGCATGAAATATTCCAAATTTTACTAGAAGTAAAAAACAAAACAAAAAAATGATAAAAATCACTTTACGAGCTATTTCTCATCTCTTTTTATTTCAATTTTTCAACGGATATTGCTAAAACGGGTAATTAATTGTTGTAGCATCATAAGTGCTTTAATTTCATTACAACACTTCCATACACATAACGAATTGGCAATAACAAAGAAAAAAGCAGAAGATGTCATCAAATGGTAAAATTGTAAAAAATAAAGAATTTTTGTTTGAGAATCCAATTAAGTTGAAAAAAAAAGAAATTTAAAACAAAAATCATTTATAAAAAAAATGAAGAAAGAAATGTGTATTTATGAATTCTTACGAAATTTAAAATGTGAAGTGAAGTATTAATAGTTCAATAAAGATTTCATTTGAAAAAATAATTGTAATTGGAACTATAATGAGACCGTTGTCCACGGAAAAGTCATTTAAAAAAAAAAGTGGACAATAATTTAAAAATAGATAAAATATATGTACTGAATAGAGATTTTTTCGTTAACACTCTAGCGGAAATGATACCATCATAGAAAATATTAGAAATTGAGAAGTTAAATAATTCATAATGATTTATTAACAAAAATTCACATTGCACGTTTCTTTCATTTTTTGAAAAAGGCCGAAAAGATCAAAAAATTAGAGTAATGCTATAAAAATCAAACATACACTCTTAATATTTAAAGAATTCCAATAATCCTCAACATTCAATAAATCAAATGAGTTCATAAAATTTTTATTTAAGTAATTGAAAGTTCACTGATCTAATCTAAATGTTTCAATCTTCTAGCAATACCAAACAGAATATCAATTTAAAAAATTTTCAAAAATTGATTCTACACGAATCATTTCACACAAAAAATGTTTGCGGAAGAATTTTATAGAATTGGCTATAACAGATAACTGATTAAATTACATTTGCGCTAATATCAAACATTAACATTCCATTAAACAATTTATTGATGCTTGCTATCGTTTTCCATCGAATGGAACTTTCATTAGAGATTGTCAAATATAATTAAAATCAACAATGAATGCAGTCAATTCACTGTTATGCAATCTCTCCCGCTTCACCTATATCTATTATATTAATTCCCGGGAGCGCCACAATTAGTTCATTTTTCCATTTCCAACATGTATTTATTATTAATTTCCCTAAATGTTAGAAATGCATTTTAAAATTTAACTTATTTAATTGTGAATTTTTCGTTACAAATTTTCATTAATTTAATTTTAATAATAAATTTGCAAAGAAAATTAATAAATGTCTATTTGTATTTTAAATACAAACAAAATGTAATTTTCGAATTTTTGTCTTAAATTTTAAATTAAAAGCTTCAAAAAATCTCAGCATATAAAAGGCTAAATGAAATCGCACAGCATGAGAATTTTGCAATTAGCAAGTTGCAAAACTTTCCCTTTTCTTTTTAATAATAATAACAACTTCTCTAAATGTTAAAAATACACTTTGAAATTTAACTTATTTAACATCAAATTTTTGTTTACATAAAAAAAATTCATCCGCCAATTTCGAAACTGTTGTAAATTTATCATTAAAACGATTTAGCATACTATCAAAAATCATTCAAAAGGTAGTAAAAATGAGAATTGAAAAAAGTGCATAATGCATTAAAATTTTAGCTATTGCAATCTAATACTAATTATTTTTTAAAATTGAACTAAAAAAAACGTACCGATTAAAATCATTCTTATCAATGCGCAAAAATTGTGATTTATCTTTTCGAAGAGTTACGGTAGCAGCACGTGGTGCATCATTTACCAAAGCTAATTTACCAAAATCGTCACCTTCACGAAGCGTACAAACGACACCCTAAATTAAACGATTCAATTGCAATTTTCTATCATTAGTATCATCAATTTAATATCTGCCATTATCATCAAAAGTATTATCAAATTTGTTATCAATTCAGCTATTATAGCACTTTCATTATAAATTAAACAGCATACAATAAAATAAATAGTTTTGAAGAGCATGAATGGAAGAGAAGAGAAATTGTATCATCATCTTATACGCTATGCATTAGTTTTGAAATCTGAATGGTAAATTTTATAAAATCTTAATTTGAATATCCATTCAACTGAGCAAACATATATTTCCTATAAAAAAAATATTTCAATAATGTTCTGTGGGAAAAATATAAGGAGAAATTTAAAAGTAATCTCTTGAAAAAATATCAGTTTGAATAAAATATTATGAAATGAAAATTTTCATCAAGTGTACTTTTTAGTAAAACTTTTATTACAAAAAAATAAAAAATGAGATCTTATCAATTATCACCAATGCAATATGTGCTCATTTGGAATTTTCTTCTTTTTTTGTTTTCATTTCATTTTCGATTAATTTTCTAATTTATTATCATTTCATTCTAATTTTCAAATTCAGTAGCAACAAAAAGTCTTTTTGATAAAGCTATTACTAAGCATGTTTTTTTTTTGCTTGTATTTTTTAATAAATTAAATATTAATAAAAAAGAGCCATTTTCAAGCATAACTCATATGTAAATGCTATGAAATTTTTGTTTGAATAAATGGAATTGCATTTGGTATGGAAATGAAATATATTTGAAAAAATAAATTTGAGGAAGCGCAAAGGTATATGAATGATACAGTAAGCACTATTGAATGCAAATATTTTACATAAATAAATGTTGTTTTAGACATATTTTATGTCATATAAAATTTCAACGCTTTTTTTAAATTTTCGATATTCTATTTGGCACATTTTTCAAATTTTATTTATAATTTGAGAAAAAAAGATTGTATTTAAGGCATGAAAAAGTGAAAGTAAAAAAAGAGGAAGACAAGGATTGTTAAAATTCAAATTTGAATTGAAAATATCAATACTTACTTTTCCTTTTATGATAACATCAACAGACCCTTTAAGGACAATATACCAACAATTACCCTCATCACCTTGTCGGAATAACACATGTCCAGCATGTTGATGCTGTTCGAAGTAAACAACCGCCGCTAATTCACGTTTCACCATTGTACTCAAATGTGTTAATGCTTTTACATGTAATAATTCCCTGTAAACATGTTCCAATTCTTCCAATGTACGCTCTGATGATCTGAAAAAAAAATTACTAAAAATTAAGTTAACTTTGAATGAATTATTCAAATAAATATCGAGAAAAAATATCATCATTGATCATTTAAATATATATTTCATGCCTCGAAAAAAAGGTAAAATTTTGAAGAGATTAAACAAACGATTTGCAAAGGATCATTCGAAACAACGAATCAGGTCCAATGGTACTAAGGAAGAATATCGCTGCAGCAATATCACTAACGTGTGGTACCATTTCTTGCTCACCGTCAAATATCACACCAATTGTTAACCTGCGAGCTTTAGGATGTATAACTTTCATTTATTTTATAAATTGTAAATTAATAGATAAGAAAGGTTGATAACTGTAACTCAAAATAATTTTTATAACTGTAATGAAAATTTTGAAAATATACTTGATTTATTAAATAATTTATCAAATAATTGAATTATTTGCTATTAGTTTAGAAAATATATTGAATTTAAATGAATTAGATAATACAATCGACCACCAAAAAATTGAACTCAAGCTGAATTTATAATTTAGAAAAGATGGAAATATTAACTCGTTAGTAGGACACATAATTGCATAACAGATGGATTAAAACTTTAGATGTATATATTCACGCAGAATCTGACGTTAAGCATATATTTGAATTCATCTTCCAACCTGGATAAGTTGATGGAAAATTTTTTTTATCGAAAAGTAGAGTATTGAGATTACAATCTAAGCTCTTCTCACAAATAATACGGTACCTCATATGAACGCTATTTGTAGTACCAATCATCCAACGATAAAAGACATGCTTATCGGCAAATTGCAATTCATTACTTACTGAAATATAATAAATACTGTCATCAAAACTTGTATGACAAAATACTTTTTTTTTAAATAGCAATAATTTTACTTTTGAAATCAAAATTTTATTTGTCCATTTACTACATTTTTTTTTGATATAAAATGGCAAATCTTCAAAAATATATTTTGAACATTATTCATTCAGTCAACAATAGAAAAACTCAATTTTAAATTAATAAATTTATTAATTGATAATCCTACTTAATTTAAATATTGTTCTCAAAATATCTAAAAATGAAAGTAATCATTTATTATCATAGTGAATTCCACTGATTAATTAACTTATCTTGATAAAATTTGAGGCACTATGTACCATTCTATGTTGTGATAATTTATCATCTTAAAGACTATTCCAGTTAGGGTCATTTGCTAAAATAAAGGTCATAGAGTAAAATGAGATAAGGGTAGAAGTTAAATTTCATATTTCTTACCATGTGCAATTACACCATTTTCCAATAATGCTTGCCACATGCCAACCACTTGAAAACGTGTCAACGATATCTGTTTGATCGAATGTAATGTTTCGGTTGCAAGTGTACTCAACCAATCAACCATTTCAGTACCAATCATACATGATAAAAATGACTAAAAAAAATGATTTTTTTTGTAAATATAAATTTTGAACTTGTTTTCAATTCAATTCATATAATCAAATAATTGATATGAATTTTGTAATAAAAGTAAACCGATATGATACATAAATAATTGTAAGAATTTAGAATTTTTGTTTTTATCACATTTTTTTGATCATTTTCTATTTTATTTTCTTTATCTTTCCATTTAAATTTATATTTAAATTTGTAATAAATAATTTAAATCATAGATATAAGTAAAATGTCGTACTTCATTGATATGTTTGATGGTTATTCACTAAGTTTTATTATGTGATAATGAAGAATTAATTAGATAATCACGAATAAATTGATAATGAAATGAAATGATGAGGGAAAAGTACTGTTGTCAATATTTGCATAATAATTGTTGCATGGTAAATTAGCAAGTTTGAGCTGGATTTTTTTTTGAACACTCATTATTTTTATTCGTAGAATTAAATTGGATTTAGAAATTAGAAAAGAAATATCACTCAATCATATAGTTTCTGTTAATGATTGAATACTTCTCATCCAATTTTTTCATATTCGTAATGAAAAGTTGAGAAAATAAATAAATTTAAAAAAAAAGAAAGAAGAAAAGCGAATTCTTTTTTAATTAATTTCTGAACTGCTTATATTTAAAAATTAATATAGAAAATTTATTTTCTCACAATTCTTTTAATTCACCTCTGAACTGTTTACCTTTAAAAATTAATACAAATGTGTTGCTGAAAAACGAGAAGTACCAAAGAAGAATTAATTTCTTTGTTTTGGATTAAAATTTCAGAGAGAAGCAATTCCTTTTGTAGTGAAAGGATATATATTTTACATCTTATTCATAGATACAATTGTAATAAAGAATATTACTGCGCCTTAATGCATGCTAATACGTGTCAATGTTAATGTTCCTGCCTAAACAATAGCACAGTCAAATGATTCATTCTTGTACTCGCATATTCGTTCCCATCCTTGTCCCCAATTATTGTGCTACATGATCTCCCTTGCTCTTCTACCCTCCAATATCTCTCCTTATTTTCCCGCGTTATGATATGCACGTATACTTTGCCTATATAAAACATCAAATCTTCATTCACTCATTCATTCGTTCTTCTTCTTTTGGGGTTATGAGTTTGGTTTATTTCTGCGCTTATTTCATGTATTAATGTTGCGTTTTTATTATTGCTGTGGGTTTAATTACCCAAGTTTGAGGTCCATGGTAATTGAAAGATTGCAATAAAACCTTAAATATTGTCACGGTCAAAGAAAAAGGCAAGAAGATTTACTTTTTGTAGGCGTAATTTTGGTCTTAAAATTTAATTCCTAGCTAAATTGAATCACTGAGTCTTTATTTGGGTAATTGTTTAACAAATGATCAATGAATTTTCAATTATTTTTGTTAAAGATAACTTATTGTTTATTTATAATAGTTCGATCTATTTCTTGAATTTCATAAAATGAGCATCTCTTTAAAAAATTATTTGTCATTAACATTTTTCACATTCTGTTCAAATATTTCTAATAAAAATGAAAAAAATATGTTGCGTTCAAAAAATGAAGCAACATGAGTAACCAATCATTCACAAAGCAATTTGCAAATGGATTTTTTTTTGAATAAATGAAAGTAATAAAAAAGGCGAAATACCTGTAAATATCCTCGACGATCACTAATAAGATGTGGGTCACGCATTTCCATCGTCTGCTTAAGAATATATCCTGCTTCGTAGATTCTTGTTTCCAATGACTGGAAGTTTTTTTTAAAATGAAATTAGCGCTTAATCAAAAATTCTTTTGTAGAGAATTTTTCGCGTGGCAACTGATAAAAGCTATGTCAATTTTTAAATCTCTATCAATAATAGCATTAACATTTTGAAAATCTATTATTGCTAGAAATTTCAAATTAATTAAATATGATGGATAATATTGATTGTTTAGAATCATATCGTCTTATTAATTATATCAGTGGAATTATTTCATTATTTAAACTTTATTCTGAGTGGACACACTTTTTTCCTTGCAATTAAAAAGCATTTCAATAAAATAGAAAATTGAAATTAATGAAAAGAAATGCATGGAAATGCTTACAGTACAATTATTGAGCTCGAAGTAACTTGAAGGTGAATTCCAATCAAATTGCGTTTCGTTTTCAACATCAGCGCTTGCTTCCTCACATCGCATACCATTTGCGATTTCATTGTTACGCTGTCGCATTTCGTAAAAATTGTACGCCATTTTATCATCTATAACAAAAATTCCACAAATTCATTAAAATATTTCAATTCAATCTCAATTAATTTAAAATTTTTAATCTTTATTTTTGAGATTTAGACATTGTTAATTCTTATATTACATGTACAGGCAATAAGTGATTTTTATGCCTTTCAAATGAAAGCGATATGTCTAATTTTCGATTTCGCTTATCAGTTCCATCTTTTTTTGGCTCAGTTAATATCTTATAATTATTATAATGAAAAAACTTCACAGAATAATTTTTCAATTTCTGTATTTTCATCAAATTTATTTTCTCCGGAATTCCTCTAAATTCACAAATTCCCCTTCTGATTCCCCAGAATATCAGAAAAATTGTTAAATAATTTTTAATACTAATTTTCAAATTCTAATTACCCTTGCTACTCATTGTCATGATATACTTATCAGATTGGTTGAAATCCATTATTAAATCATACCTTCAAGCCTAAAGTTAAAGTTATTTCTTTGCTTGGAGCCCGGTCAAAACTAATGTTGCTATGCTAAAGTTTATAAAGAAAAAAGACAAAATATTAGCTTGCATTTTGGATAATCAATCTTTTAGTGAAAAGCTATGATACAGAAAAAATAAAGGCTTAAAACGGAAGCGGAAAAATAAAGGCATAAATTTCATGTCATTCCTAAATTAAAATTTAAAAATATTACCTGTAAAATCTCATTTTCATATCTGATGAAGCCTTATCATTGTAATGTGTTGCAACTTTTTAAAAATTTTCCAGAATTACCTTTCCAGATCAAATAAGTACGTTACAAATATTAAATTTTCTTTATCAGCCAACCTCAGTAACGTTTTATAAAGCAATTGAAATATTTCATTAAAGTTTTTTTTTGAAATTTTAATAAGCAATTTATGAAATAGAAGTCAATGCAAATTCCTAATCATATAACTATCACATTTAATGCTTTACAGAATTTATATTTGCATTTTCATTAAAATAAAGTTGTATTAGATCAGGTGTTCAAATCGAAATTTTTAGTTCTTCTAATTTCTCTGGAAATGTTTTCTGTTGTAAATAATAGCAAAAATAGCATAAATGGTAAAAGAATTTGCTTGTTTTTGAACCAATAAGTAGAAATTGAAGGGATAGAAAAATTTAGTTAAAAAAAGTTAAAATTTCAATCAAAAAAAGGAACAAACCAAAATCATCTGAGATCTGCATGACAAGATCTTGCATGACAACAATGTGCGGTTGTAAACTATCCGCGTGTTTCTGCAAGAAAAAAAGAAAGATTGCCTCATTATGGATATATTCGAAAAGAAAGCATGCTATGAAATATAAAACGGTAGACGCAATTTCCTAATACTGCCATTTTATCAACAATTTTAGATAGCAACAATAACTGTAGTAGCAAAAATCGTATTTCAAAATATCTTACTTATTTCTACTAATTATTTTTTATTAAAGATCTCAAAATATTTAACTTAATTTTTCCGTAATCTCATGGGAAAAAAATTTTATTCGAATTGCTCACATACAAAAGGTTTAAAGGATTTTTTAAAAGAGTGAAATGAAATTATTATTAGCATACTATATTTAAAAAAGAAAACCATCGGTTAGAACCTTAGCAGTAAGGGAAAGCATTTCCCCACCTATTATTATCCATTTTGAATAATTAAGTGCACAAATAAATTGAGAAAAGTAAGAGAGAGAAAGGAAGAGTGAGAGGGAGACAGATCGATGAATGAAAGCTGAGCCAAATAAATGTGATAGAATAATTGTAAGAGGTGATATTTTGCATGTTAGCCTATGATATGAGGTAAAAATAGCCTTGTAAAGGTTGAAAGTCCCGCGTGCTGGCAAGCAAATTTTCCACAGAACGGATAATTCATTGCAAATTTGAATTTAGAGAAAATTTATGCAAAGCATTTTCATCATCATTTTAACGGTTGTGATAATTTTTCTTTGAGTACTTTTCCATTCTGAATATATAGAAAAATTGCTCGATTAAACTTCAAGTAGTTTCCATGATAAATGAAGATTTTAAATGAACTATCTTTGAATAACAAAAAAAGCCTTTCAGAGAAAAAGGAAAATTTTAAATTTATTACAGAGGTGTTGTGAATTTCGATTCGCGGAACTTCAACCATACAAACAAATAATCAAATAAATTTCTTATTTGTAAACAAATGTTCTTAATATCATGACTCATTTAATTAATTCTGCATTCCTTCAAATTATTTCCTATGACATTCTTGTTTTAACCAAATCCACATCATCGTATTCACACATTTTGGTACGGTATTTCCTTTGTTAGCAATTACTCAAAATATCTACCTTAATTCCCCTCTTTGTTCAGACAAGTATCTTTATCCATATGCCAATCTTCCAT